CACGTGTGAGGCCCTGCCCCGCCACGCGCCCCCCCCCCCCCCATGCCTTCTATATCTGCACTTCTCCATGCTGGTCAGGGAGGTGCAGGTGACTGGCATGTTTTGAGAAGCCCATTTCTGAAGGCAATCTGCTCGGCTCGGCAGGGCAGCAGCCTGGTTGCTGTCAGCTTTCCATGCATGCATTTCCATTCCAGGACAATCTCCCAGCACCTTCCTGACCAAATTCTCACCTCTCCAACCCACACAGGCCCAGGCAGGGAGGCCCAGACCCACTCGCTGTCTCTCGGAAGAAGAAAAGCTTTTGAGAGCAAAGTCCCAGCTACCAAAGGCCCGAAGAGCTTTGGGCTGGCAGCAAAGAGGAGCCTTGAAGCAAAGGATGCTTTGCTGGGTAATAGCTCCCAGAGCAAAGTTTTTTTGAGGTATTATCTTCCAATTATGACTAACCCTGGTGTTTCTTGCAGCTAGCACAGCCTGCCCGCCTGGGACTGTGCTGAGGAGCATTTATGCATCCAACTAGTATTTGTATTTGGTAACTCTATAGCAAACAATAAGGGCTGTGCAACAGTTTCTGTCCCTGGTGAGGTTCCTCAGAAAGAGCACCGTCTATTGGCATCAAGCACACGACACATTTACACACAGGTTTACAAATCAGCCACGCACAAGAAAAGCTTTGGTTGGAGGCCTTGCTTGATGAGGGGCCAGAGCTAAAAGAGCACGCGGGGCTTTACCTGTGGGGTGGGAGGAGGAGGAGGAGGAGGAAGAGGCCACGCAGCCCCAGAGCAGAGCCACGGAGAGAGCGTGAAGCTGCCAGGGAGCCATCCAGAGGAGTGGGGTGTCAGCGGAGGCCGCCGGGAGGTGCAGGACATCAGAGCCGCGGCCGCGGCGCGCGCGTCTGGAGAGCCTGGAGCAGGACAGGAGGGTTGAAAGGCTTCAGCACATTGCTGGGGCCCTGGCACTCTCCCTGACACAAGTTCCTTTTTACTCATTTACCAAGTCAGATTAATCATTTCCCAGCGGACTTTAATTTGTAAGTTTTAGTGATGACAACACACGAATGACTTTGGCTTCACTTGCAGTGCTTTTCTGGCCAGCTGGGCACATTCCCTAAAGGCACGTCAGCCTGAGCTGCAGTCACTGAGCTGTTTGTGGCCCAGCTTCTGAGGAAAGACTGGTGCAGTCAAGCGACTGACGCCTGTCGTGGGAAGTGCCTCAGACCAGTGACTTTTTTATTTAAAATAAACCCCAACAACCCAAAACAAAGTGCCTGAGCCTCCAGTTATCTAAGAAACAGGCACGTTTGATGCAACTGTCACCAGTGCTTCAGGCTTTCCTGTTTCAGGGTTTGGTGACTGAAAGGAATAAAACTATTGCCGAGGTAGAATTTCATTTCTAATTCACCCTCCAACAGCACAGAAATGGTAGGAACACTTGTGAGATGTGTTCTTAGTTGACGTGATAATTTTTTTGAAGGGGACAAATTTCTCTTCTGAGCAGGAAGGAAGATGGAAACTGAGAGGGAGAGAGGAGCAAAGTTTCCAGAAGGGGCTTCCATTCCTTCACATTTCATGCTGAATTGCTGCCTACAGACACACCAGCCCTGCCTGCTGCCTTATTGCAGAAGCACCAGGACTGCAGGTAAACATTAATCTTTACATCTCAATATAGGTATAGGTATAGATTAGAGATGGGGGAAATACAGAGATATTTCATGTAGATTATTCATGTCAATCTTTCTGCAAGCTTGAGGCCACTGTTCTGCTTGTATAAGAACACAGTGATACCTATATGAGCACACAATGCATTCCTGAGCTCCTTTCAGGCTACAACCTCACTTCACATTGTCCACACAGCCTTGGCTATAAAAGGTGGACTCCCAGATCATGCTCTGACGTGGCTGCTTACTCCTTAGCACCCACAGCTATGGTGCATCAACACAAAACTTGGGGTCTGCTGGATGGCAGAGCTTCAAGTCAGAGAAACCTTAGGAAATCTGAGAGTTGGGGGGGCCAAGGAAAACCCCATCATCTCAAGAAGTAGCAGCTCAGGGGAGCCAGAGGAGACAGGTTCTAAGTAGCAATACAGGGCAGCAATTAAAAATACACAATTTTGACAGTTAATTTTCTATTTAAATGAATATCAAATCTCCCCAATGCCATCACATAAGTATAAGCAGTACCAGTATTTTTTTTGTTTCACTGTGAAACGAGAACCTATGGAGCAGTGCCAGTCAAAAGAAATGACTGGAATCACTTCTTAACATCCCAAATACAACATAAAACTTGTGTCAGTACAAACCTGGCTGTATGCATAAGTCTCTGCCTTAAAGAGGTCTCATAATTCAGTATAAGGATGCAAGGATAAGGAGAGCCAGCTTACAGAGCTGGGAAAAGTAGCAGCTGTAACTCATAGCTGGGGAGTAACAGCATCCAAGGACTGTGTGACTGCTAGTGGAGAAATCTTTTTCCACTTACAGTACAGTTAATGTTAAGGTATTCACATTAAGGCAAGTAAAAAAAAAATAAAAAAATAAAAGGTTTACACAGGAAGATTTAAAACCAGCAAAGTGCTCTTACCTGGACCTCTAAGTGCATGGGGAGCACATCTACCTCTGGAGTGCCAAGCTCCTCAGCTGCCTCTTGGCTGCTTTGCTCAAAACTTCGTGTTTGTAGAAATGTAGAGGCTTTTAAAGAGGCCTGTCTGTTCTCCTCAGGGATCAAGATGTCACATTGCAATATTAAAGCATTTGCCACACGATCAGAGGCTTTACTAAACTAGCACCAGACAGGACACTGCTGAGATTTATGAGGTGTTGGTTTTAGTCACTGCTGTAACTGTGCTCAAGCAGGTCAAGCTTCTGTTCTAAATGTTCAAATGCTTCATTAAGATGAAAACCAAATGGCCCAATCAGTGAAGGTTGCCTGCTGGAGGCTGCCCAGCCCCTGGGATGTCAGGGCCCCACACAGCACATGGGTCCATACCACTCCAGGCCCTGCCATCAACTCACTGGCTCTGGAGCCAATCCAGCTGCTCCTACATCTCAAGGCTCTGCAGGAAATTTTTCAAATAATTCATCCCCTCACTCATCTCTTGCTGGCTAGGCTGATCACACAGCTGGTCAACATGGCCCTTATGTAGCCTTGCCTGTCACCAGTTTCTTCATCCCTCCTCCCCTGCATCACCCTGCGAGCCCTTCCTCACCCCCAGCCTGGAGCACCCTTTGCAAGGAGTGGGTGCTCCAGCCACACCTGATTTGTCCCAGGTGAGAGCTCTGGTACCAAATAGGCCTTGCTCAAAAAATATGATTCCTGTTGCTGTCATAAAGGACCAGTCAGTGTCATGACCAGCAACACACAGATGAGTCATCTCTGTGTTGTCTTGCATGAGTCAAGTGGGCTTGGTTGCAGCAACTCACCTCCAGGAGGGACAATAGAAGATGTTTTGGAAAGAGCGGAGCCATGGTGTGCGTGCCCTGACAAGCATCAGACTGTGGCTGAAGCTGGATCTTCCCATGGCCAAATTTAGGCATATTGAGAAATAGTTCATGCAGATTAAGAACACAAGAAACAGCATCAGGAACCATAGGATCACTTCTTGGTAGGAAGAAAACTGCCCTGCAAGCACCTCTACAAGACTTACAGTGTTGCTGTTGCAATTGATGCCTGAATCAATGTGTTACTGCTCCCTAGTTGGAATCAATGGGAATGTCTGGAAGCAGCAAAGGCAGGATCAGGCCCTGTTCCACCTGTCACTGTGGCATGCAGGTTGTGCCATGCCCAGGCAGGGCAGCATTGCCAGCCTGCTCTGGTGGCCCTACAGACCTGGAGGAGGTACCGTCACTTTTCAGGTGTGGAGCTTTCCCATCACATCACAGCTCTCTGCTTCTGCCTCCAAGAAGATGCTGTGAAGGTAGAGGCTGCTGGGAAGAGCACAACCATCCTTCACATGTTTGAACTATTTGAACTTGGAGGGCAGTTGCAAGCAAAATGTCACTGTGCTGAAGATAAGAAGTTATCCCTTATGCCTGGTTACAGCAACTACTTCCCAGACACCAACTGCTGTGTGCTGGGTGAGACCACAGCATTGAAAGCAGAGATGAGATCAGGGAAGAGCACTTGGACTTGAAGACCAGTTAGTCCTGATGGGTGCCAAGGAAAGCTCTGAACTGGGGAACCATCACCCACCACTGTCCTGATCTGCAGGGGCATGTGGTTGGGAAACAGTCCCAGAAGGCCAGGGGGGCTTTGCTTGCAGTTGGAGGCAACTGAACAGGTGAAGAGCCCCTTGCTTTTCATCTTTCCAAAGCAAAAAGAAGAGAGGTAGAAGAAACCGTGTTGCCTTGAGCGCCCTGTGAATTCGGGGGGGAGGGGATTATGGGTGAGTTCTCCCTACACTGCAATGGCACAGTGCTGGCTGTTCCCTTCTTACTTTCTGAAAAGGATGAGGGGGAAAAGGTCCCTCGCAGCTGGTAAGTGTACAGGCTTATTTTCAGAGTTATGCAAGATGAAGATTTAACATTAATGCATTTTCATTGTGCAAGCTACTTAACCAGAAAAGGTCACACTGGACAGATAATTTGAAACAGATGAGAAAGAAACATTTGTCAGTAGGGTGAATGCCAGGTCCCAAGTGCTAGAACCGGGTCATTTCTTGAGAAAATTAGGTTGGAAAAAAGCATAGTTACTATTTGCAACACTAGGGCTTCACAAAGCAGCTGGCAGGGCTGGAGCACCAGGGAGGAGCACTGAGCACTGTAAAGCATCTGCCCATCATCATCCAGCCTCCTCCTGTCCAAACCAGTTCCCCTTGCAAAGTGCAGATGTTCTTCTTTTTCCTCTCCTTGGACCACTGTGCTGGTCCATGATGCTCGTGCTGTGTTCTCCCCTTGCCAGTGTTGATGCAATCCCCATGCTGGTCATGGAGGAGGAGGTAGAGGTTGACTGAGGGCAAGCTGGGGAGAATCCATTACCTGTTCCAGCAGTGCTGAGTGGAGGCTCTGCCCGTGGGAGGGAGAGATAGTGGTGGCTCAGGGCACACCTCTGCAAAGGCCACATGCTCAGACACCTTAGCTGCTTCTGAGTTACCAGCTGGAGCTGTCAGCAAGGCCCTAGCAAGCTGTGAGGAACACAGGGCAACTCCCTGCACATGCTGAACCCTCCCTCATGGGTTTAAGCTGGGGCGGGGACAGGCAGGTGATTTGCACCTTACTGATTACTCTGCAAATGTTGCCAAAAGTTGCAAAAAACCTCCTATATAAGGTAATGAGAAGCTCAGGGAAGGTGGGTTCAATAAAAACACCTGCTCTGGCCCACTAGTCCTGCACACAACTGGGAGGGTGCCCTGACAACCTCCAGGCACCAAGTTGTCCTTAAGCACCACAGGTGGCTGGGCTGGGCTGGGCTTAGCCACCCACTGCTTGGAGCCCCATGGCAGAGGACACCCCTGTGCCCAGGAACAGGCAAAGCCACAGGGATTTTATTTTTTTTCTTCCTGTTTGGCTGCCTTCCCCATTACAACTGGATTTGGAAGCACCACTGGCTTGCTCAGTTTGCTCACAAAAGTGATTATTTTGGACTTGTCAGCCATGTGAGTGACTCCTGGAGTCATGAACACTTCACTTCTCCAGGAGTTTGGGAGGTCCCAGAGCCTCACATCTGCTCTGCAGGGGCAAGATTAATGGCAGAGCTAAAGTCCAGGGAAGGCAAACTTGTAAAAGGTGCCTCCAGGCTGAGTAAGTGATTTCAAAGAGCAGAGAAGCCCCTGGGCTGGGTCTTTGGCCTCTGAGAGATACACTGAAATTTTAAAAAATCTGCTTTTGTTTG